TTTACACACAAATATTATTTAAGGTAGAAAACAAAACCATAGAAATTAAGACCCTTTCTTGCACTGGCAATAGTTAAAAGAGGTGGTGATTCTTCTTTCCCTCGGCCTTTTCTTCTTTCTTTGCTTCCTTCTTCTCGTGATGCTCGTGGAATGCGTATCCACCAGCTCCAACCCCGACTCCTGCTGCTATTTCTTCTTCAATCTTGTGCTTGTGGGCGCGTTCGGGGTCTTTCTTTGCCCCGTGCTTCTCATACTGAATGTGATCAAAGAACAAAAACATATCCACGTGTCAGACCTTTGTCGAAAAATTTGGAGATCATATAAAAACAGCGATAATAACAAAATAAGAGAATTTACCAAGGCGAAGCCACCAGCACCAGCCGCGGCCATCTCACCGAGGTGTTCCTTATGCTGACGTTCCTTCTTTTCTTTCGCGTACTTCTCCGTGCCATAGGTGGTGTCGGATTGAACTTCCTCGACTAGCTTCTCCTCGTCCTTGTCGTGGTGGAAGGGGTGGTGGTGCTTCTTCTCTTCAGCCATGGTGGTGGTGTCGCAGCTTAATGAAAAATTGGAGACAATGAATGAAAATTGTTAAACACTAGTGAGTTGTGTTGTAATGGCATTGGCTTCCAGAGTGTGCAATTTATAGTATGATTTCATGCCAAGGGCATGGACACGTACGTGTTGACAATGTAGTGGTAAGCATAAATGGTGCAATTAGGTGGACGGTTAGGATCTCCTACTCAGCTACTGTAAACGGATCTCGGTAGTATTAATAAAAATAGAGTTCACCATCAATTTTTTGTATACTCGACGGACTTTTTCGTAGTTAAATATCCATTTTTCCCAATAGTCGTGTTCATGAATCCTCATCAACTAGCCACTTGTAAATTTGTGTGAAAATGTTGACTAACGTCATGTCGTAAATTTTTACTACTATGTGGCCAAGTTCCATTGCACAGTACCTCACCAGTTAAAAACTGGCAGGTTAGGAGGTTGCCCACATAATTATGTCAAACATTTTAGTACGTCTAATTATACTATTCACAGCTAAACCTGCCTTGCATGCTATTTTGAAATATTTTATAAACGCTGTAAAAATGATATTTGAAAATCGATGAATATAAAAAATAATTTAAAAAAATCTGTTTATGTGAAGAATCACTAAGATCGATTACGATTACAAAGCAGAACTCTAGACTTTCACTCAGAAAAAATGGGAAACAGAGAAACGCAGAGAGAATGGAATACTCTCTAATGTCCAATACACCAAAGACCAAGTCAACAAGTAATATGAACAGAGGGCAGAGAGTCAGTTACGTGTAAGGTTGATAATAATCATCAATGAGGCTA